GTGTGTGTGTGTGTGTGTGTGTGTGTGTGTGTGTGTGTGTGTGTGTGGTCCTCAGTCATAAACCTACTGGGTGAGAATCTGTTCAACTCTTTCTCAATATTTTTATTGGGCGTTCACATGCCGTGGTTTTACAGCTTATTGTCGAGTTTTTCTTTCTCCAGAATATCAATTAATGCAGCATTCATTTGTATTAGTAATGGAATATCTAACAGATGTGAATATTTCAGCACCTCATCTGCATTTTGACGCGTTAGATGTAAATGTTAAACTCCTACACAGAAATATTTGACCTTACTTTAAGTATAATTAGTTATGCAGGTCTCATTATGGAGTTCTTCATGTGGAAGTTTTGGTTTTGGAAGACGACCTCAGACCCTGATTACTTGCAGACAACTGGTTCTTGGTTTGTGAGTCACATTGAACCCCGTGTGTGTGCGTGTGTGTGAGAGTGTGAGATGGCCATTGTTTATGTATTTAGTTTGCACAGTACAAGTACTATTTACAGTTTGTACTGGGTTCTGTGTTCACGACTTTATATTTAGTTTGACAGTGGTGGTTACTGTGTGTGTGTGTGTGTGTGTCATTTCCTGTGTGTTGGCCTGTTGCCTGTTTGACCTCGTATGATTTGGCTCACTGCCTCCTTCCCCTTTATTTCTTTCCTCCCTCTTGGCCTCTTTGGGTTTTCTTGTTGTTGCTTCCTTAAAACATCCACCAAGCTTTTCACAATTCTCTTTTTAGGAAATCAGCCTCCAAAACAGTTTAAATTCAGAAATAGCCTTTACCTGCACAGACCGGCTGTTGTTACTGCTGTTTTTGATTTCCTCTTTTATACTCGCTCACTTACCGTTTTATTTTCATATGCTCTTGTTCACTGTGTTAATTAGCTATTTGCTTTTATCACAAACTCAGCATTTCCTGCAGATGTTTTACATTAAAAGCCTTCCAGCGGTGTAGACGGAACGATCTCTTCCAATCCCCCCGAGGGCTTTTATTGTGAAGTGTATAACAGTTTAGACAATAACTGAATGGAGCTCAAAGAGGTTTATGCACGTTTGTCTAGTGATGAGTTTGCAGATTGTCAGAGAACTGTGGTGGTCTTCAGGTTACTACAAGCACTAAAGGTGCTCTCTAGAGCCAGCGGTTGATTTATCCGTGCTACCAAGCGGCAACCTCCTGTTCTTTAAGTGAAGCTAGTGAAGTGTCTTAAAGCTGCATTCTCTCTAGTGACCATCAGGGGGCGACTCCTCTGGTTGTATAGAAGTCTATGAGAAAATGACTCTACTTCTCTCTTGATTTATTACCTCAGTAAACATTGTAAACATGAGTTTATGGTCTCAATCTCTAGTTTCAAGTCTTCTTCAATACAGCATGATGTTCATTTAGTACATTATGGTCCATTTAGAGTCACACAGACCATAAAGCAGGGGATGCTTTAGGGCGGGGCTGCACGGTGATTGACAGGACCTGAGATGTTCTCCTCAGTCCAAAAACTTTCCACCAATGAAAACCCTTATCTTATCTATCTGGGGTGCATATGTGCGTCTTTTTGTTTTTTTCACCCCTGTTGCTATTTTTCTGTTTTCCTCTCTCACACAGCGGTGGAATAAAAGAGCTCAACTCGTATACAGTCACGTCGTTTTATTCCAAGTGAAGCCAAATGTCAGATTTGTCCCTGAACTCTCACACACACACACACACACACACACACATTGTGCACCGCATACTGCTGGCTCAGCCTCCATGAGTGAACGTGCAGCTCTCCAACAAATCTGACTCTCATGGTTGGGTCTCCATCAGCAGCTTAGATTCTCTGCCTGCCTGTTTGTGTGTGTTGGAGTGTGTTTCTGTGTGTGTTTGTGCATTAGGTCATTTTGGCATCTCAGCTGTAATTAGTGGCTTTATGGAAACAGGCAGGAAGATTGTGGGAAGGGTCACGACACTCGTATCGGATCCAGCTGTTCGCTGCAGTGTTTCTTATGTCTCATTTCTTGTCTTCTACACATCAGCCCTGTTGACTTGTGGCTGTGCATTAAAGCTCTAATTGAATGCTGTTAGTCTTCTACGTGGAGTTGAATAATTGTCTCTGACTGGACCAAAGTGCAGCACATCTGTATTTTGATTCCAACAAACCCAAGAGGAGCATGGGAACGGCAGCGGAACCAGAAAACTGTGGCAACGGATGAAGAGAGTCGGGTTGTTGGAGGCAGTTTGTGTTGGATTTCTTTGGTTGTGGTTTGTTAACACAACATTCAAAGTTGTCCCCCTGAACGTGGTCGGGGTTAAAAGTTTTATTTAATCCGGTAAAAATCTTTGCACACCGACTCTGATGCGTTTTAGTATTCTCTTTGTAAGCGGTGTTAAGTACGGAAGTTATTCTGGGCGAAAAGTTCAGTTCATTTTCTGCGTGGACGATATCGGGTGAATTACAGTTGGAGACTTGGATGGACACAAAGAACAAATGATGAGCAACTGTGAGAAGTTCACAACTAAAGGACATTTATGTAATATCTCTGAACTTGAAATGTGTGTGTCACTGAATGGCTAGCTGTAGCAAAAATCTGCTCAAACGCTGCTTAAATGTCTTTATTTTAGGATTCTGCATTTGATTCTGCACCAGTTTAGAGTTGATTTGTGCCTCTGCTTCTCCTCAATAGCAGTGACAGCTGAGGATGAGTATGATCATATTTAGAGCCTCACCAAACTGTCAAAGTTTAAATAACTTAGACGTATTGTTAAACTGTCCATTAGACTCTTTATTTTCATGTTGAGGGAAACTGTGCACACACCAACTTTCATCTAAGGAGCATTAAACGTTATAGTTACATCATTGCATGCAT